CAGCCATGCTGGCTGGGGAATTCTGGGAGTTGAAGTCCACTCATCTTAAAGTGGCCAAGTTTGGACAACACTGCCTTTGCTATTTTGTAATGAAGTGGCTGTTTAATACATATGGGGCTGAGCCTATAGGAAAAAAAATGAGTTTTAACTAATGCTTGAACACTTTGATCCATCCACTGGCTTTGACTTTAGGAGACCAGCTTCTATATTTTCAGAGTCCATCCAGTCCACTAATTGACCGTACTGATATCTGGCATACAACTTGCTGGCCTGCTCAGCAGGCTAAGAGGTCCATAGTTTTGAGGTAACTTTCTCTCACCCTTCTTAAATTAGGGATTATAATGGCCACTCCCCAATCTTTGGGGAGAGCGTCAGTCTGTTTCCATTCAGTCCGATTGTTCAGAAACTTGGATCAAGAGTCTCTAATCCTAGAAGGAAAGTGACCAGCATTCACAGATTCTGAAAAATATTACATTTGCGCCATAGCTAATTCCAAGCAGTTTCATCTAAACCAGAGCCTGAAATGGGTTTGAAAACCATGGCTAAGAGGCAATCTTGCTAGCATAAGCTATGGTAAATAAGGGTGCTCTAAACTGCCCTTAAAACTGACAAGAGGATTTGCAGCGGCTAGAGGAAAAGTGCTGGAGGGTGTGCAATGTTGCCAAAACTGGGTCCTAATTTGTAAGATATTAGAGACTAGTATCTCAGGACTACTGTAGACCAGAAGGTGAATGTTTGGAACACAGAAATCTTACAAGGAATATTAAAAGAGCAATGGAAGATAGAAAAGATTTCAAACCCGGAATACCTTTACCAATCAGGATATCTGAAAGAGATAGAAGAGTCCAGGATGAAAGAAAACATGGTACCTGTAGTCTTGATTGTAGATTTTGCATCTGTAATGAAATAAACCACAGAATCAGGACTGTATTGGGTAGCACAAAAGGAGGATGAGGACACCCGAAGCAGCCCAGGAGATCCATGCATGGAATCCAGCTTACACAAAGAGATGTGTGTCTGGATCTTCTTTTTCCTTAGCATCACATCCAGCCCTTGAACTGATGCAAACAGATTATTGCCCATCCCCAGAACTCCTTTGCGCTCCTTTGTGCTCAAAACAGATTAGGATTAGGGGCTGGGACTGAAGATTTAATGGGCTCCTACTGAATCTGACAACACTGGAATGGACTTAGATACAGGAGTTCAGACACAGATTCCTAATTATCGGCATTCTTCTCTGTCCTCTGTTTGCCACAAAGCAAGCATATCAGCTGCACCATTATATGGCTGCCTTTCTGGCCCTTGCAGCTCCTGTTCTCTAATGATCCATCACTTATCCTGAAGCTTTCTAGCTCTAGAATTTCACCCTTGATTTCCATGTGGGTTGGATGTGCCATGGAGCCACTGAATGATTTTGATAGGCATAGCCCCAGAACAGATCGAGCCCCACTTTCAACATGAGCTTTCTTCTTACCTTGGCTGGGTCGGATTGTGAAAAGTGTCTCCATGCCAGCATGAATGTGGTCAGCCACGTGACAGTGAAGAAGCCATGTGCCGGGGTTGCCAGCCTGCATCTCCACCATTTCAAAGGTCCCAGGGAAGAGGTCCACCACATCGGCTCTGTAACTCTTGCCATTCTGTCACACAAGATATACAGATGAGTAAAAGTTTGGAACAGGGGTGCTGCCTAGAGGGTAATGTTTAACTACTACCACCCAGAAAAGCTACATTTCATGGCCAGAAAGCTAGATGTATATATTTTTGCTCAATTTATTTTGCTGGGCTAGACCTGGGGAGAGGAAACAAATCAACTTGCCAACTTGGGACGCACAAACTAACTGCAAGATAGGAGCCTCCAGACTCTTTACCCAGATTTATCCTTTAAGTGGGATGGGGTAGGGTGGGTGGGGGGAGCCTTCTGCATCAGTTTGGAGAGAGTCTCACCCGATATATGAACGTTTCAGCGTGGAAGTGAACCGTGTGCACGTCAATCTCCTGGCCCATTCCCAGCAGATACCAGTTCACTACGTCTCCTTTATACATTATCAGCCCCGGCAGGTTTGCATATACTTTACCATTGATTGCTAAGGAAAGAAGAAATCTCTGCTTATTGATGGCACGGAGTTTCTCTCATCTTGTGAAAAATCCTCAAAGAACCACCAACCCTTACAAAATGAGCCTTCGCATTTCTCCTAAGGATAAGGGCTATTGTCTTTGCAAAACTGTCAGCAATTCTTCTCCCTGTATCTGACTGGATGACGCCTACCACAAACCATGCGGTTAGCCTACAGTCTCCATCCCGAGGAGAACTTTGAACTGCACTTCACTTTGCTGAAACATCTGGCCTACTTTCTGAATTTCTGGCTTCTGTCACATTTTGCCTGGTGAAGAATTTGGAGGCTATTGCCCTATCATAAATTATCTTTTTATTCTTTATAGACCAAAATGTCTATAACTGTTTTGTAGAGATAGAAAGCAGTTGTTCCTAAAATTAGCTTGCTTATTTATTTATTGATTTGATTTATATAGCCGCCCGCATAGCATGCAACTCAGGGTAGCGTACATTATTAATCAACAGCAATTAAATCCATATAAAAATGACACAGTAAACAAATAATAAAAGTAAAGCATAGAAACCAAAGGTGTAGAGTGTGAAGAAGATGACCTTGACAGAAATATGCACGATCTGTTATTAAAGTGATAAGAAGAAAAACATGGCTTAAGTCCACAACAGACAGATTGTGTTCAGAAGTGGCTCAGGGAGATGCCTCCCTCATTCACAGGAGTTTAAGAGCGGGGAGGAGGCGCAGCACCACCAGACCTGCCAGATGCTGCTGTCAGAGCCACTCTCGATAAAAGTGGTGTCAGCCTTCCTGTGGAGTTGATTTCCTGGTCTGGTCTACTGTTGGGATAACAAAAGGACATAAAGGCAGGCAGGACTGAGTTCAGCTGAATCTTGGGGGAGGCTGTTCCAAGGGTCGGGGGCAGTGACAGAGGGGGCAGACCTCCTGGGTCCTGCCAAACGATGGGGCCTAAGTGAGGGGGCCTGGAGCATGCTGACCCTGCGAGATCTTGCTGGATAGGCAGAAACAATTGGAGAAAAATGGTCCTGCAGGACCTTGAGATTCAGAGCCATAAATAATTATGAGATTTCGATGTGATCCTAAAACTCTAGGGCTGGGAAAACGTTGGGTGGCTGAGCCTAGTAAGATTCACCGGGGATGGATGGGGAAAAGGGCTGATCATAGGCTTGAAGAAATTGGTCTGGGTCCTAAATCATTCAAAGCATCATGATCCCATGAAGTATGAGAAGCTAAACTGTTGTTTGTAAGTTGTGTTGGGAGATATTTGCCACCAAAGGTGGCACATAAGAACCCGCCTAACAAGCATAGCTTCTCATGTGCTTTCACTGCAGTTGTGGACTTCGGTATCTAGCAATTGGCCATAATGGCAAGCACGGATGAGGGAGGGAAAAAAGGCTTTGCTTAGCAAACCTCAATAACTGTTTTTTTGTAGAGTGAAACTTAGCAGTGGTGGGTAGACACCAGGCATCTCTGAAGCTCAGTTTGGATGTTGACAACTAATTGTCCACTGTTTCTGAGGCACTGGGGACTATAACAATCAAGAAAGAGTTGTCTGGCACCTTTGAATGTTCCCAAACACTTTCTTCCGTGTTCGATCAGTGGATGGGACTTTCTGAATCCACCAATGGATTCCCTTTGGTGTAGTGGTTAAAAGCACTGGATTTGAATCTGGGAGATGTGAGTTCTAGTCCTGCCTTAGGCACGGAGGCAGTTGGGTGACCTTGGGGTAGTCACTCTCTCTCAGCCTCAGGAAGGAGGCACCATGGCAGATCACTTCTGAAATCTTGGTAAGAAAACTGCAGGGACTAGTCCGGGCAGTCGGCAGGAGTCAAGACTGACTCAAAGGAAATAATAAAATAAAATAATCTGGAACCAAAAGGGAGCCTTCCGTAAATCAAGCCTACCAGTACCTCTGATGGAGACTTACTCTCTTCCCCAGCTGCTTAGCTCCTAGGCATGAATCCTCAGGAGACCTTGGCACAGGAGACACCACCCTGCCTCCTAGATATTCTCTGCCGGGGGCTGATTGTGGTTTCTCCTAACAGCCCGTGATGTGATCGCAACAACCCTTTTGCAACAACCTTTTTGTACTGGTTGTGTTTTATTCAGAAAAGGGCCAAGAGGCACGTTTTATTGGTCTCCAAATCAAGAGTCAAATCATTTGCAAATTACTACCCAGCGGGTTTTCACTTCAGACTTAGCAGCATTTAGAATTCTTAATGTTCCCTGAAAATGAATGAGTGACCCTAAAACAAGGGGAAAAAAGATGAAGGAGCAGCAGCAGGGAAGAAAAATACCCACAAAGATGCAGGGAAAAGCTAGGAGCTAGAAAAACAGGGAATTCTGCAATTTGAGCAGGCCCTCAGATTTGCATGAGCCCTTTTCATGCAAAAGAACTCCCCAATGGCAACCAGTAATACTCATTATTTAATTGTTCACTATGCAGAGTGCCAACTAAACCCTTCCCAGGTGATACACTAGAAGTAAGAAAAAGTGTAGAGCTAACCTTGCCCTGTGCAAGAATTCCTTCGTTTACCTCTAGAGATCTGAAGGGTGTTGCTTTTTAATGCTATGAAAGTGTTTTATTCTCAGACTATAGATCTGTGAAAAGGAACTTTATATGACAAAAACTCTATCCAGTGAGCTCCTCCTAAGGAAATTAAAGCTGCATGTGTATTGGCCCTCCAGAAATTTCCCACCTCTCTCAGGTGGAATATGCACGTGGGACAATACTTTTTTTTCCCAGAAAACTCTTCTGTTTTTCATTAAGAGACGCAATTCTCTTTTTGCAACGTGCAAAGGCATCACTGGAGCTAATGCAAAAAGCACGGTAGCTCTACAAACCATGCATTTTGTTGCTTTCCACGAATTCTTCGTCCTGCTGGTGGGAACGGTTCCAGTCTCCTTGGACATAAGTCTTCACGTTCTCCTCAAGGTACCAAGACTGATTTTCATCGAAGACCAAAAAGAGGAGGGCAAACTCGTTGCTTACACCTCTCCTTCTCCCATCAGAATCCAGTGTCCCTTTACGACAAACTTTCAGGGGGCCAACGAGGCCGCTATACAAATCCTGCAAGAAAAGAACGGGAAGTAGTAAAACTCAGCACACGTTTGGTAGAACTCCACATACTTTTCACTATCACAATGCCGCAAAGCATGGTCAGCTGCATCAGTCAAGGCCTTATACAATTTAAATAGGTGTGTTACATGTGCGTGTGACACCCCAGAACAAAGGAATGGCAATAGTGTACTCAACACAATTCTATTCTCATTAATAGCACTAGCGATTCATCCTGCTTCACCTCAGCCAATGCTAGTGTGTGATTGCTGTTGTGAAAGCTGCAGGCAATAATACAACATAATGTGATGTGACCAGGGGGAAGACCAGCACAGAAGGAAGGGGACAGCTACATAGCTGCAGGTCAGACTTATGTGCTTCTAGGGAGCTCCTTGAAAAGAAGAACCTCACTCCATCATTCCCAAAGGAAGAACATCTACTGCAAAGGAAAAGAGAAAAGCAGAGGTATGCATGGAGGAGGCTTGTGGATGTTCGTGTTTCTTTTGCTTTATTACTTTTTATTGTGAAGCTAGTGAACAGCTCCCAGCATGCTGATTTGTTGGTGAGGTGCATAGAACACACAAACACACAAACTCTGCTTCCTCCAGGAGCTCAAGATGGCATACGTGATGCTCCCTCCAGCATTTTCCCCACAACCACCACCCTGTGGTGAGGGAGAATAGCAGACCCAAAGTCACCCAGGAAGTTCCACGGCTGAGGTGGGCTTGAGCGTGCCTAGTCCAACACCTTGACCACTAATGTTTCATGGGGCTGCCCCATTACATGTTGGGATGGTACACCAACAAGGAGAAATGGAAAAGCGCAAACCTTGACGCGGTCCACTGTGGAGTAGTAGATCCAACACAAACAGGCTGAATCATTCGGCCCTGGACCAGATCTTTCAGGAACATCCCATTGATACGTTACAATTTCCCCTGAGAGAGAGAGATTTCAACACTTCGGTTAGGAACTTTAGCTGAAGGGGATTGTGTATCTTAAAATTAAGTCTTCAGATATAAAGCCCTCCTCCTGAACACCAGGCCACAAAAGACAGCACACCTAATTTGAGAAAAACAAGTTTGTCAGCAGCCATAAGTTACTACAGTGAGTGGCGATGGGGGCACCAGCTAAAATCAAGGGCCGCCTTTGTCCTGTTGCTGATTCAGCAATACCTGTATTTAGAACAATGGTTTGTGTGTAAGGTTTGCCCCGTTTGACAGAGAAACTCCCATGACACGTGTGGTTCACAAAAGAGGTTTACTCATGCGTAACGTAGCAGCCAC